CTAGTTGCCATGTCGAAGTATAAGCATGGGATGGCTATCGCATCCGTTTTTAAATGGAGCTGGGTGTGCGAAGTCCATCGCAGAGGGTGGGTGCAATACTTTTATCTCGGTGAAAATTTGGTTTTATCCATAAATTTTCTTTGAAATATAAGATAATTTGATGAAATTTCGCATTTCAGATTTTCATTGATTTGCTTCCTACAATCTCAAAAATGATGATTATCGTATATATAGGAGCTGAGTTGACCCAGAAATCTGGGATCGTTTTTATATAATATACAAGTAAATGTGACTGGTCCATTGAACTTAAATGTGAAAGTACAACAATATCTGTCAAGGTTAATCGGAGCGAATGGAAAAAACGGGGGAGGAAAGGGGGAGCAAGGTTTATTCTGGAAATTCCCAATGACGTTTTTCACGTATGACTTGACATGCCATGTTGCGTCATCACGACATGATTCAGGTCACGGTTCAGATCGTCACGTAGGTTTAGTCGGGGTCAGGGCAACTGGAGAGCGGCAACCATTTTGTTCTGTTTGCAAAGAGGCGGGTCCATGATTTCGATTGCTACAGCTTCTGCCGTTGTCAAGTGACGTTGCCGAACGTACCTCGACTTGTTCTCGGGCACTTTAAAAATAACTTAAAATGCATCGTTGTCTGTCTAGTGCCTAAGATCCAGATTAGGATTTTCTCCAGTCGGTTATCCAGTTGTGAGATAAATAAGAAACCGGAATAATCTATTTCTATTTTTCTATAATCTTGAGGGCAAGCAGTTACTAGTTTCCTAAACAGGTGGGATGCTTGGTATAGCTTGCGGTTGAATATTTGTCTGGGCGGTGGTTACGTCACCAAATTATCACCCCGGGGATGTGTGTTCAAATTCCACCACCATCGCCTGACTTTCCCAAGGTGTGTTGAATGGCAGCCCTTTGATTGGTCGCTTCATCCTTCCTGAAAATTGTATCTTTATATTTTCAATAAATGAAAGTAAAATAAGAAGAAAAAAGACAGTATTATCGAATTAGGTTGCCTTGTTGGGCTCGCTCACAAGTGAACAGTGACACTCGTGCAGCAACCAAGTTATGCGCAGAGTAAGGTTCACCAAAATCAGCTTTCTATCGGTTCCATCGCATTTAAATGCATTCAAATAGTGGGGAAATAACGATCTCCCAAAGAGTGAAACTCACACCGAACATCAACAGTGCCTGGCGCCTGTGGAAAACCGAATGGGTTAATTCAAACGTTTACCATCCATATTATATAAATTCATTGGATTCAATATGTTATTGCCCCATATGACACGCAAATTATCTGATAGTATCTACTTATATTTTTACTTCAGTTAGTCAAATCCCTTAAATAAATGCGATGCTTTTCACTCATGGATATCAACATGCAGGTATAATATTGGAAACTGACATGTACTGCCGGATTGAGAGTCATGTCTTACAAATTCGACCAATGCCCGTAATATACATGTACATGTATACATTTCCATGCTTACCAAAACTAAAGGGGAAGTTCAATTTTTCGATCGAAAAAAATAAAAAAATATTCAATATCCATCATCATCTCCACAGTGATCACCGAAACCACGATCCATCTGATATTCAGCAATTTTTATATCCTAAAATATGATTTAATAAAATGTGAGAACAAAGAGACGTTGGATTTCTAGTAAAAAATGTCTTCTTTTCCAGTAAAGCTATATTCATCCATGTTGCCAAACCCGATTGGACACCTTCACATACTGTGGATCAAAAGAGGATAAGTTAGCACACCAATATTTATCCACCCTGGTTTCCAGATAGCTTTCAGTTCATCAGGGAAGCTACAGGATTTGACGTTCCCGCCGGTAAACATGCCCGAGAGACTTCTAAACAATGTGGTTTTTCTCAAAGCAAGCTGACAGTTATAAAACTTTGATTTCACGAACAATAACCAACGGTGTTCAATTCATGACTTACATTTACCGACGTTATCATCTTCAAAGATGTGATCCAACCCATTATGGTTCTAATATCAACGTTCAAGGGTATTGGTATAGCCCCTAGCATTCTGTGTGCCTTCCAGTATTTTCAACTGACTCCTAATTTCTGTTGAATACAGATTGGATGACAGAATGATTTACCTTTCCGGCTAGGATGCTCACGTGTCCGTCTTTTTAGCAAACGTGTGAGAACTGGCGGTAACGAGTATGCCATTAACCACCGATTTCCGTATTCAAGTGAGCATGGAATCATATCGAATGTCAGCCGCCAAATGTACAACTGATGATGACTTCCCTTCTCCCTTTGTGACAAGGAAGTGTGAATAACGCAGCTTTGTCATAGACTGATCCATTGGAGACGAGAAGGACTGTCAATGCACTAACAACAAGCAGCCAATGGTAAATTATCCGGGTGAATCAACACAAATTCAAAACAACAAAAACAACAGCAGTAAGAACGCGCGGACAACGGAAATTCCATAGTTTGGCCATGATCAGAATGTCCTTGTGTGTTTTTGTCTCACTTTGTTTAACATTCTCGTACCAAGAGATTCTCGCTCAATGATATTTTAAATTTCTATACAATGCTCTAAATAGCCCTCAGATTCCGGCTTATCACAAGTGAACGTTGTGCATCTGTTGTTGACAAAATCAGATGGGAGAAATCGACTATTGCTTGCTATAATATTGATCTGCGATGTATGATCGACTGTAGCACAGGTCATGAACCGAAGCATTAATTTTACTGTTTTACGAAAACCTTTTTCTGTAGGAGAGAAATTAGGACTACTTGCTACACTGCTGTCATGATTGGTCATAAATAGCCCCCCTCCTTCCTTGTTGTGAACTTTAAAATTATCTGTGGTTAGTTGTCTCTTAGTGGGTGTATTTTATGTTCTTCCGGTAACTAACTCAAGCTATTCATCAGCCCATCTATTGAATCCCTATTTAGTATTTTCAACAAGCTGATTCGCACGTAAGCTGATATGGAGTGCCGATTTTATTGATCGAGCACACAACCTGGTGTTAAGTAAGATGCCCACGTAGCAACCGGAAGTTAAGGATATGCAACGACTCTATACGGCTTCCATCAAGATTTAGCCAAAACTGGAAATGCTTTAGCCACAACTCTTAGTCTTTTAGCCTCGCCGCAAAACCTTTAGTTATCTACAAGTAAGTCAGATCAGTACGTATCGGAATATTGTGAGGTTCAACAAATGTTGAAACCTTTGATTTTCTACAACTGTTGATGTTGCAACGCTTGGTTTCGAAATAAAAAAAGGTGTGGTGATTGTATATACTGCAGTTGCCTGTCGTAATTGCATCAAATATTACAGCTTGAATAAACTGGTTATGGGAATGGTAGTTGTGTGAATGACATTTATCATCTCAAAAGCTGGGTCCAATTTAATTCGAAATACGTAACGCTAGGAATTCATATTTTTATTGTATTCCTTTTTGATTTTTTTCAATGCTTGCAAATACAAAACAATACACCATATGTGCGACATTTGCGATTTTTACTTACTAAAGTAGTGTATTTTAGATTCCCCAAGTCAGGGATTTTCTCCCGGTACAATAATGCAAGAGACAGTACCGTTTCTACGTTTGCGTAAATGAAATTTGACACATTAGGTATTAGACACCTTCAGGTTAGACCATATCACATATTTCGCAGAGAAGCTTCGAATATGTACTTTACACCAGGCTTTCATTGTTAGGGAATCCACATCAATGCGGCTGCACGGTATGATGAACAAATTCCTGAATCATTCTTAGCATATTCTGATTATGTACTTAGTCATAGTAGGACACAACTGGGAATTCGTGCTTCAGCAAGTCGATGAATATCTGGAAAAACTCTAGTACTTTCAAAGTCAACGGTGCAGGAGTACTATATCATATNATCATATACCGTTGAGGTGCACCAAGCTGGGGAGTGCCGGTCTGAATAGCCTTTGTTTTACGTAGTCGAATTCACAGGCTTTTGTGTTCGGATTAGAATCCCAGTGAAATTGATGGATGAACATTATTATTGATTTCAAACATGGATGGATTGGTGGTACAGTGTTTACCATGATATCTTCCTTATAGCCATTCATTCACAATCATTCGACCAAATCGCTCTGTGGAAGGAACCCAGATTTAAATCCCATCATCACCACGTGAATAATAACACTCACGAGCGTTCGAATTCGAAATAAACCTTTCACTGAGCAAAACATCAATCTATCTATGGGTGGTTGTTGACAATTTATATTCTGAAATTAGATGTTCAGGAATTGGCTGAAGTATGTTGCTTCTCGTATTTAAGTAGCTGTCTGACCAACGACGGTATCGCACTACAGAAGATAGCTGCATGTTCATATGAGCGTCACGGCTGAGACCTTGAACTTGCGGGTTGATGACATCCATCGCCTGGAGGGTTTTACAATCGATATTTACGCAGTTCGGCCCGAGTGGGATGGTGTGAGCGAGTTAGTAACCTGGAACTAAGGCGCCAGGTGTTTTGGGAATTTATCGAGAATGAATTCGCGATCGCAAGGAATTGAGCCCAATTAGCTTCGTTGGCTAGGACACGTTTTGCTTATCCCCGAAGTTAGCCTACCACACCGCGCCTTTTATGCAACTGCCAATCTGGGCTGGAGAAACCCACGTGGAGCTCAACGGATGACGTAGAAACAAGGGATGAAGAAACGCATACGGTTAGTAAGTACTTTAGATGTTTTCCCTCTTCCAGGCTAGGATCCAAAAGACTCCGTAACTGGTGAACGGCAAACACTGAAGAATATGAAAACGACCCAAGACCGCATTGACGTCAGTATCACGAAAGTAAACTTGAAAATGTGTGGATGCGCAGTGAGAATGTGTCCGTTGTGCGTTCTTCATTGAGATTTCTGTTCTTCCGTATACATCGAAATAGGCCCAATCACTATCCAATCATCACATAAATTGTATGCATTGCTACTATCAGAGAGAGCAGTAAAATTCGCTACTTTGTATTCCATAGCACGGAGACGATGACGATAATGGAGATGAAGATGATGATGTTCATGATGATAAAAATGATGATGGAGAAGATGATGATGATCATGAATATGATCATGAGGATGATGATCATCATCATCATGATCATGATCATGATCATGATAATGATGATGATGATGATGATGATGATGATGATAATGATGATGATGATGATGATTCGTGTGATGATGATGATGATGACTCGTGTGATGATGATGATGATTCGTGTGCTGATGCTGATGATGATGACGATGATGATGATGATGATGATGTTGACTAAAATGATGATGAATCGCGTGATGATGATGATGTTCCTGAGGATGACGATCATGATCATGAACATGATCATGATGATGATAAGGATTCGTGCGACGATGATATTATTCATGATGATGATGATGATGCCGAAGATGATTCGTGTGATGATGATGATGATGATGATGATGATAATTCGGGTGATGATGATGTTGAGGATGATGATGATGATGATGGTGATTCGTGTGATGATATTGACTAAGATGATGACGATTCGCCTGATGACGATGATGATGATGATGATGACTCATGTAATAATGATTCTCATGAGGAGGATGATGACGTTTCGTGTGTTGATGAAGATGATGATTCGGGTGATGATGATGATGATGATGACGATGATGATGGTGAAGTTGAAGATGATGATTCGTGTGATGGTAATGCTCAAGATTCGTGTGATGAAGACGATGCTTCCTGTGATGCTGATGATGATGGTGAAAATTCTGAAGATGATGCTGATGATGATGATGATGATGTTGATGATGATGAAGCTGATGATGATGACGACGATGATGATGACGATGAGGATGATGACGATGATGATGATGATGATGAAAATGATGATATTGATGATTCGTGTGATGATGATCTTGACGAAAATGATGAAGATGCTGATGATGATTCGAATAATGATGGTGATGATGTTGGAGATGATGAAGAGGATGATGAAGATGATGGTGATTTGTGTGATGACGATGTCAGAGATGATGAGGGTTCGGGTGATGATGACGATGATGATGTTGATAGTGAGGATTATGATAATGATTCCGATGATGAAGAAGAAAATGATTTTGATGATGATGTTGATGATGTACCTGGTAAAGATTTAATGATGAGGACGTTGATGGTGATGATGTTGATGATAATGCTGATGAAAATGATGATTCGTTTGATGAAGATGTCGGTGAATATGATGATGATGATGATGATGATGATGATGATCATGATGATCATGAAGATGATCATGATTTGTGTGATGATGATAATGCTGATAATGATGATCATGATTCGTGTGATGACGATGATGTTGATGATGATGATGACGATGCTTCGCGTGATGATGATATTCATGATGCAGATGATGATGCTTATGATGTTTCTTATGATGCTGGTGAAGATGATGATGAGGAGGAGGAGGAGGATGATGATTCGTGTGATCATGATGTTGAAGATGGTTTTGATGATGATGGTGCTTGGTGTGGTGAAAACGTTGATGATGATAATTCGGGTGATGCCGATGATGATGAGGATTCGTGCCAGGACGATGTTGATAACGATGATGAATATGATAATGATTTGTGTGATGATTATGTTGATGATGATGATGAAGTTGCTGATGGTTATTCGTGTGATGATGCTGATGATGATGATGATGATGAGGATGATGATGATGATGATGATGATGATGATGATTCGTGTGATGATGATGATGATGACTCGTGTGATGATGATGATGATTCGTGTGCTGATGCTGATGATGATGACGATGATGACGATGATGATGATGATTGTGATTTGTGTGTTGAATGATAACAAAGATAATGATGATGACGTTGGTAATGATGATGATGATGACGATTATTTTTACGATGACAACGCTGATGATTCGTGTGATGATGACGATGAAAGTGATGATGACGTTGATCATGATGTTGATGATGATGATGATAATGATGATGATGATGATGATGATGAAGTTGATGATGATGATCCGTTTGATGATCAAGATGATAAAATGATGATGATAATGAAGAAAGTGATGATGATTAGTTTGAAGATGATGACGATGGTGATGATGGCGATGATGATGATGACGTTGATCATGATGATGATGATAATTTTGGTGATGATGATAATTCGTATGATGATGATGATGTTGAGGATGATCATGATGATGATGATTCGGGTGATGATTTTGATTATTCATTTGATGGTTATGTTATTGGTGATGATGAATATGTTGATGTCGAAGATTCGTGTCATGATGATAATAATGTTGTGACCACAATGATGAATAGTGCGAAGCTAATGTTGATGATTCGTGTGATGAATATGATGAAGATGTTCATCATGATGATCATGATGATCATGATGATGACGATAATGATCATGATGATTCTTGTCATGATGACGATGATGATCGGTGTGATGATGACGATGATGATGATGATCGTAACGGTGATCATTATGATTGTGATGCTGATGACGACGATGATGATGACGATGATGACGATGATGATGATCATGATGATGATGATGATCATTCGTGTGATGCTGATGATGATGATGATCATGATGATGATGGAGATGATGAGCATGATGAAAATGATGCTTTCGATAATATTTCTGATTATCGGGGTGGGGATGATGTTAATTCGTGTGTTGCTGATAATGATGATGAAAATGTTAACGATAGTGATGATGATGATTATGATGATGATTCGTGGTACGATGATATTCATGTTGAAGTTGATGAAGTTTCGTGTGATGATGCTGATGATGATGATGATGATAATTTGCTGTATATTATTGTTGATGATTCGGGTGATAAAGATGATGTGTCCTGAGTTGCTGATGCTGCAGATGAAAATGTTGATGATGATGATGATGATGATGATGATGATTCGTGTTATGATGATGATGATTCGTGTGATGACGATGATGATAGTGATGACGATGATGATGATCGTAATGATGAATATGATGATGTTGATGAATAAGATAATGATGACTGTGATGTTGGTGATGATGATGATGATTCGTGAGATGACGATGTTGATATGGATGATGAAGTTTCGTGTGAAGATGATGATAATTCGTGTGATGATTTTTGATGATGATGATAATGATGATGATGATGACGCTCATGATGATCATGATGATCATGATCATGACAATGATGATGATCATGATGATGATGATTATGATGATGATGATGATGAAGATAATGTTTCGTGCAATGATGGTAATGATCCTCATTAGTGGAATGATGATTTTGATGCTGATTCAGATGAACACCTCGACGATGATGATGATAATTCGTGTGATGATGAGATGACGTCTCGTGCGACCTGGATGACGACGGTCATCATGATGATCGTAATGATTTTGATGATGGAAATGATGATGATGATGATTCGTGTGATGATGAAATTGATGATGATTATGATGATGACGATGATGGTGATGATGATGATGATGATGATGATGATGATGATGATGATGATGATGAAAATGCTGAAGATGAAAATGAGGAAGAGGATGATGATTCTTTTGACGATGAAGAAGATGATGATTAGTGTGATGATGAAGTTGATGATAATGATGATGATGATCATAATAATGATGACGATGATGATTCGTATGATGATAAAATTCATGATGATGATGATGATGATGATTATGATGATGATGTTGATGATGATGATGATGGTGATGATGACGATGATCATGATGATGATGATGATGATGTTGAAGAGGTAGATGATGATGATATGATGATGGTGTTGATGATTATGACGCTGATGTTGCGTGTGATGATGATGATGGTGATGATGATCATGATTCGCTAGATCGTGGTGATCATGATGGTAATGATGCTGATGACGACGACGATTATGATGGTAAAGATGGCCTGTATCATGACTCGTGTGATGACGCTGATGATGGTGATGATATTGATGTATTGAGCTCTGACGACTATGGTGAAAATGATGATGGTTGTAATGTTGATGATGATGACGATGAATATCCTAGTGAAGATAATGATGATAACGATGATGATGATGAAGATAATGATGATCATCATGTTGAGGATGATGTTGATAATGATGACTATTAAGAAGACGTTTATGATGATGATTCGTGTGATGATCATGATGGTGATCACGATGATGATGATGATTTGTATGATGATGACGATTATGTTCCGTTTGGTGCTGAAATCGATGATGCTGATGCGTAGCGTGATGGTGATGATTCCTATGATAATGAAGATGATATTCAGAATGATGAAGACGATGATGATGATGGTGACGATGATGATAATGAAGACGTCATTGATGATGATGATGGTGATGATCACGATCATGAACAGGATGACGATCATGATGATGATGATGAAGATAATGATCATGGCGATGATGATGATATTGAGGATGATGAAGATGATGACGAGGATGATGAGGATGAGGATGAAGATGATCACGATCATGATAATCATGATGATGATGATGATGATGGTGGTGATGATGATGATGATGATGTTTAGGATGATGAAAACGATGATGATGACGATGATGATGACGATGATGAGGAATTGTGTCAGAATGCGGATGATGATGATGATGATGATGATGATGACAATGAAGACGATGATGACGATGATGATGATGATTCGCTTCATGATGATGATCATGATGATGAATTTGATGATGATGACCATAATGATGATGATCATGATGATGATGAAGATAACGATGATGATGATGATGATGACGATATGATGATTATGTTGATGAAGATGATGATGCTGTTTCGTGTGATGATGATTTTGATGATGATGATGATTCGTGTGATGATGCTGATGATGGCGATGACAACGATGTAGTAAGGTGTGATGACTATGGTGATAATGATGATGTAAATGATGCTGGTTGTAATGGTGATGACGATGACGAGGATGATTCGTGTGAAGATCATGATGATAACGATGATGCTGATGACGATAATGAGGATGATCATGGTAATGATCAAGATAACGATGATCATGATGTTGAGGATGATGTTGATGATGATGATTATTACGATGACGTTTATGATGATGA